TAAGTTAGAAATATACTCTAGTTCCACAAACGACAAAAAGATTTTTGTAGTAAACGTTTGTACAGCAATGACAGTAAAATCGCAATTTAGCATTCATTGGGGATGCAAACTGTTAGTAGTTATTTGTGACTGTTACTTTCGAGAAATGAGAAAATGATCTTTATTAACTACATCAACTCCGACGGATTATAAAGGGAGCATAGAGTGAATGAGGAATTAGAATGTATCATGAGTAAGGAATTGTGTAATTAATGAAGATATGAACATGTCTGTTATAAAACCATTGTTAAATACAATACCGCATATTGAACATAGCAGGAAAGCAACATACGGCTACTAACGATCGAATACAAATCGCGCCTGTATTCTTCATGGTGTAAACACAGTTTTTTTTCTGCTTTTGCTTGGTTCATTTACTGTTTATTACATTAAAATGGAATTACCGATTGAATTAGTACTTACTCGAAAACAATATGTTATATGACACAACTAAAAAAGTTATTAAAAAGGTAATTAACTGACAAAGTAATTCATATAAATTCAAAAAATATTTTTCTTAATAAATCTTATTAAAAAAATATATATAATAAAGATATTTGGTAAAAGGTTAACTAAAAAACAATTCACATTTATCTAGCCTTATTATGATCAACACTTTTGACAGTCATTTTAAAAGTTTTTTCTAAAAGTTTTGTGTTTTTATATACACCTAATTAATTTCGTTCTATTAATATAATAAACTCTACTTATTCTTAGGGACTTCTTCCCATTCCATAAAATACCACACAAAAATAATTTTTCAATTTCCGAATCTGACTCGGAATCCAGAAGATCCTATTCGGCAAACAGAATTATACAAATATGTATATAAAATTTGGATTACGTGCTCAGATTCCATTCCTGATTTCTTTTTGTACCAATCGTTATTTTATTTTGTACAATTCTACACAATATAAAAAAAATGAAGTATATTTAAATGTCTAATGGCTTTAAATCAGTGGATCAAATTCCAATAAATTCAATTCTCTCGAGATACAACGACCCCCGAAGAGAGCTAAATAACTCATTGAATTTTGGCAGCAAATCTTCTCTATTGAAATGCAAAATATTGAATTAAGTCTGAATGATGAACAATTAAATGCTCACACAAATCAGTTAGGACTTAATTGCTCAGAAACATCCAATATCTTTCGATTTAAAGTATTAAGGGAAAAGTTTGTGAAATAATTTTATACAGGTTTAACAACTTCTTAATTAAAGGCAAACAAATCTAATTTTAACAGACGGGCTATACAACTGATTTTACAGGGCAGTATTGAGGTTTTTATAGTAAAATCGGCTCCCAAGATTGTTTTCGAGTTTCGTAATGTAATTAAAAATGGAGTTAATAGTTAGGCATTTATCCATGTCATGGTTGAATGGATTTTCACTTCTTTCATATCTAACATTCTGATCAGATGCGTCAGGTCGTAATATTAAAGATTAAGTAACTGTAAGAGTATTTTTGCTCTAACTTTAGGTAATGTATGAGTATAAAGACCTTCATTTGTTTCGCTTATTTGGCGCATGATTGAGGAATTTCTGAAATGTTTGAAAATGTTTAATAAATTTGTTGTAAAGTAGGTATATCAAGACAATTGTATACAAAAGAAGAATATGTCGTAAAATTTATTCTTGTAAATATTTTCAAAATTCAAATTCAGAAGTTCCGTAAAAATATTATTTATAATTTGAATAATTGAAAAGGTTCATATTTTGGAATTATTATTAAGTTATATATTTCCAAACCAAATCGAACTTACTATTTTTGATTATTTGTCTTCAGGATATATTCCAAATTTTGGAAAGTTATTGCACCTTTTATGTCAATCACCACGCAAGCCTCTGTATTTCTTATTCTAAGTACAAGATTTTATTATAAAATTAGTAGAAAAATTTTTATACTAAAGATTTTGGATAAATGGATAGAAAAATACTAATAGATTAAGTCCTTCTAAAAATTTCTACGAGTTGAACAACAATACATATTTAGGTCCGAAATTTCTCTTTTAATTAGGAACTATGTGAGTTTTATCATTCATCTCGTATGTAATACAATAAACTGACGTTTACAAAAGAGATAGTTTGTTTTTTATTTAAATTTATTGAGACACATTTGTACCATTGAAAGAAATTTTTGAATAAGTGGCATGCTACTATAGAACTTCGAAGAAGCGTTGTTTATCCCTGTTTCACATATACATACGAATATGTATATCTGAGCATATCCCTTTCGCGTATTTGTATATTTAACATTTGATTATGTTATATCAGTGTTTCTATTTGTTATTTTTTTGCTTTCAATTAGTAATATGTAATTTTTTTGATATCCTCAATAACCTCGTTTTTTCATATCTATATATCTTCCTTTTTTATTTTCTCTCTCATCTTTCAAGTAAATAAATTGCAAAAGCAAAACCCATCCTAGATATATTTTACTATCTGGATATAGTGCTGTCTTAGCAACCTAAGTTTGGTGGATAATAAAGGAAATGTGACCAAGAGTGTGTGCTGTACGCATAATAAAAATAGATTATCATCAGCTGTCAGGCAATCGAGTCTTTGTCCAACACATAGGACATGCATATGACTTGGTCTTTGATAATATCTCTTTTATTGTTAGAGATATCAAATCTTACATCATGTAATACTAAAAAAGCTTCTTATCTAAACGTAGTGTTGCTTTTTTAAAAATTGAGTTGGTTTTGTTTCTACACTTTTTGACATTCATTTGTTCATATCAACAAGTTTAAAAGATAAATAAGGAAAAGTTCAATTATATAAAAATCGTTTTTCTAATTCTCATATTAAGATCTACATAAAAATTCCTAGTATACTCTAACTTTTCCTTATTTAATTATTTTCTATCATATTCTAGTTACAATTCCAGATAAGCTTAAATATTTTCAACTTTTGCAATGGTATACAATATTTGAACATGTTTTGAAAACAATTTAATTTTTACGAAGCAATCCCTGTACCTAATTTTAATGATATCAAAGATATTTACAGTTTCATCAGAAGTTTCATTTTATCAACTAACTTTAGTTGGTTTGGATTTTGATTAGACTTTGGCTTCTAAACACTACATTAGTTACACAAATTAATCAAGCTATAGATTACTAGTGTGAATTTTGTTGGATTTTTATCATGTGTGCAAAAGTTAAAATTTAACACATGTTTAATTTGATTGCTCCGTTGTCAACTGTGTTAAGTTAAAATTGTAACACCCTATCTAAATTGAAAATGATAAGTTCCATTATTTCCATCTAAATAATCTGGATTAGCGGTGACATTATATACAGGGTGTTTCTGAAATAAGTGCGCTCCGTGAAAAGAGGATAGAGGGCAAGAAAATGAGCAACTTTTAATAAGCAACTAATGGTCCAAAATAATACGTTTTAAATTAAAAAAAAAATCACATGAAGGTTTTAACAAATTTAAAGCCGTCCATGGTGCGGCATCCAGCTGTACCTTTGATATCGAAGTTGCCGTACTGCGAAAGCGCTGATGGCGGTTTTAACGGTTTAAATTTTGTGCTCGAAAATGCTGAAATTTATTGAAATCTCGTTTAAATGTTATACAAAATTAAACAAATAAACGAATTACTTATCAATAGAAGATATGCTCTAGAAAAATTGTTCAAAGTTGTTTCCATGTGCTAATAAACATGCTTCCAAACGACGGTCAAAATTAGTCCGCATACGTGTAAATACTCCCGGCGTTTGTCGAATTTCATTAGTTGCAGCGAAAATACGCTGTTGAAGATTGCTGCATCGACAATAGGCGTTCGGTATACATTTTATTTCATACACCCCCACACAAGAAAGTCCAGAGGGTTCATATGCGGACTTCGTGCTGGCCAACGTACAGGACCATTTCGTCCTACCCACCTTTCCGGAATGTTGGTATGTAAAAATTCACAAATTGCACGAGAAACTTGGGGAGGGGCACCATCATGCATGAAGAGCATTTGGGTATGGATTTATAAAGGGATACCTTCCAACAAATCTGGTAAGTCGTTTGTTAAAAACTCTAAATAGGCAGCACCATTTAAACGTGCAGGTAACAGTATTGGTCCGAGTAATCTGTTATCAAAAACACTCACCAGACCTTTACTGAAAACCAAACCGTTGCTGGAACCTAGGTCTCTGTACAACGTGAGGATTTGCATCACACCAATAGTGAATGTAGTATCTAGAAAAACAACATTCATCCCTTGCACCTTGCTTGTAAAATCCAGATCTTGTGCTATTTGATGTCGAAACCACTGGCAAAATTCCACACGGGACTGAAAATTATTGTTATTTAATACCTGAACCCTTTGTATATGATAGGGGTGTAATAATTGTATCCGTTTCACGCCACCCGGTATAAATATACCCACTAAAGTACTAAAGAACACACGACATTCCGACGTACCATCAGATTTACTTGTGGGAGTTACATGGAACGTCAGCCAATTAGAGAAGCGCTTGACGCATGTAGCGATTCCGAAGCATTCTGTAGGTTCACGTGCACAAGATGCACAGCATCGTCTTATATGTATGGTTAATTTCCTTAATTAATTTTCTCGGAAACAGAGGCATTTAGACCATCAATTGCTTAATAAACATTGCTCGTTTTCGTGCCCTCTATCACCCTTTCCAAGGAACGCACTTATTTCAGAAACACCCTGTATAGAGATGTATTATTAAAATCATTTTATAAATATAGATTTTACAGTGAATTAGTAAACGAATTAGGCCGTAAGTTTGGCTCGCCTTTGTGTAAAAACAATTTTTCTTAGATATTAATTTTTTATCTCGTTTTATCGGAATAGAATAGAACTTTGCTGCATTATGGTCGTACCCTGTATAATGTTACACAAGGTTTTTTTCCTTGTGTACCTCGCGAAGTTCTATAACCACCAACAGCAGACATGCTTAGTTCCGCTCTAGTAATGATTAAATCATTTGCAGGGCGACTTAGTTCAGATGAAACCCGTGCCTTCCGGCGGGGGCGGCTGTGAGCTAAAAGCCAAATCCGTGGAACTTCTGGTGTTGTTGCACGGATTAAGACATGAAAACCTTAATCCGCTCATAGGATGCCTGGCCGAGCCCCCCAGGGCCGCTTTGGTGTCCGAATACTGTGCGAGGGGATCACTCCAGGATGTACTTCAACAAGATGACATTAAACTGGATTGGTCCTTCCGGCTGAGCCTCCTAACGGATCTCGTTAGGGTAAGTGATATTTAGATTAGCCGTTGTTCATATAATAGATTCGGAAACTAGAAGTTATATTATTATGTGTACGAACATGCCCTCAAACCGAGAGGTCGTCTTAGAGCGTGATGCTGGGGTCACACAGAGCGATGCTGGCTATTTTAGCTATAAATGTAGCTACACAGAGTTACGTTAACGTCGATACACCAACGATATTTGATGTTAGCGGTAAAAGAGGTCAGTAATTTTTGAAAATGCTAATATAAAAGCCACAGAGTATTACCATCTCGTTTGCGGCTTACTTTAAAGCATGTTTCTCTAATATTAACATGAATTTTCCTGAGTTTAATGGTTCTAATAGTAGTAATATATTTTCTTTCTAATACATTAATGAACGTACAGCGACCTACTACCGGCAGCACACCTTTACGAGTATTTTAAAATACGTAATATTTTTGTATTTTGCATGTGTACTTCAGGTATAACAAATCTTAGAAAAGGATTCATCTACAGATGAGCTTGAGCTCATTTTTTGGGCTTTACCTTACATGGATTATAATAATAATAATAACAGGTTTTTATTGCAGCAAATAGTTATAACAAGGTTAAACAATATAAAATATAACTTAACATAATAATATACAAATATGCTGCAAAAGGCAGAGTTCGCATTCACGCAACATAAAGTTACATGCGTTCTTCCACTCAACCCCTAACTTATCACTAACATTACATTACATAACATGATTGGGTAGAACACTATTCACTACGACTACGACAACACATTGTGAAGTAACATATATTTAATTTTATTCTTAAAAGAAGCTGCGCATAATATCTTAATATCTGCCGAAATTTTATTATAGATCTTTGAAACATTATAAGTAAATGAAGATCGAAATAGAGTTGTTTTATATTGAGGTGTTGTTAAATTATTTTTATTATGTACATTACTTTCATGAACATCAGAGATAATTATTTTATGGTAAAAAATGCAACAATGCGCCAATCGACGTTGCTCCATATTCAACCAACCGAGTTGTTTCATATGACCAGAAACATGGTCAAACTTACGTAAGCCACAAACAAATCTTACACATGAATTCTGAACCAATTGCAAACGACGCTGCTCAATTTTGAAGATAGCAGGTCCATATACTACATCTGCATAATTGAGGTGAGATAAGACTAAAGATTCACATAAAATTTTTTTACACTTCTTATTTATGAGGTGTCGGCTGCCATAAAGTAGCTTTAAGCTGGTATAAGCCTTTTTAACAATTAAACTTACATGTGATTTATAACGTAAATCAAAATCTATGATTAATCCTAAATTCTTGGCACTAGTCGTTACTTCTAAAATATCGTTACCTACACATATAGCGATATCTTTAAGGTGTCTACTACAAGCAGATCTCCTACCGAAAAACTTTACTTTCGATTTTGTTGTACTTAAACCAAATTGTTCAGATATCTTCAACAATGCCTCCAAGTCCTGATTTATTCTCTCACACGCAATTTGTGTATCATTACCGCTGAACGAATAGTATAGTTGTGTATCGTCTGCATAAGAATGTGACTTACAAGACTTAAGTATTTTGCAAAATTCGGAAGTATATAAAATAAAAAGTAAAGGTCCAAGAATGGATCCTTGCGGAACTCCACAGCTAACTAACTTGAAGTTTGAAGAAGTATTATTTAAGAGAACAGATTGTGAGCGGCAATTTAAGTAATTATTTAACAAACAAGTTGCATTATTTGAAAAGCCTATGAAGTGCAATAATGCCAGTAACAGTTGATGGTTGATACGAATGGAATAATCCAAAAGTATGAGCACTGTTAATTTGTTATTGTCTACTTGTGTAAGTATGTCGTCAGTAACATGTGAGAGTGCAGTAGCACACCTGTGACCTGGGCGAAACCCAGATTGATGTATAGGTAGAATATTATTAGCATTAACGTACTGACGTATTTGATTTGCTAAGATTATTTCAAATACTTTAGACAACACACAAAGTAAACTGATGGGTGTCAAATCCGATAACTGCTCTGGATTATTAACTTTGGGGAGAGGAATGACAAGAGACCGTTTCCAAACTGAAGGATAAACATTATTCTCAATTCAAAAGTTAAAAATATGCAAATATGGCAATACGTATGGACAACAGTACAGTAGCATATCTAAACTTATGTTGTCCGGACCTAACGCTTTTGATTTTATTGAGAGCAGGGTTTGAAAATTTTAAAATTAGGCGTCATTTGAATAGTGAACGAATTATTAACATGTAAAGTGTTATACAAATAATTATTTAATATGTCAACATCAAGAACAGTATTTGCACTACTACAATTACTAGCAAAATAGTTATTAATTTCTTCAACATTACTTAAAGCCGCTGGCACTTGAGGGGTTGATTTATTATAAATATTCAAATTTCTAAACTCTCTCCACATATTTTTACTACTAGTTGTGCGTATTTTAAATTCAAGATAAGCCTTTTTTCCTTCTTAATTGCATAATTGAATTCATTTCTTAAGGATTTATAATAATCAAAATGTTGCATATTTTTTGTCCTTTTATACTTCGTGAGAGCTTTATCACGTAAAGTCATCATCAGTTTGATAGTGTCAGTTAACCATGGTGCTCTCCTTTTAGTAATTCTTACAGTTCTGATAGGAGCATGGATATCGAATAAACTCTGAATGAGCCTAAAGTATTAATTTTTTCATACATCGTATTCATTACAGGAATTGATCAAAATCTGTTATGTAAACATGATTATAAAAATTCTGAATGCTAAAATGTTTGTAGTCTGTGTAGGTGTAAAAAAAAGATTGAAATTTTGGCTTTGTATTACCAAAAGTGCAGTATGTTAGCCAGTGTCCACCAATATGTGTACAGTCCTTTACACCAGTATTTTTAATGTCCAAATGTGAAGAACATATAATTAAATCAATTAGTTTTGTTGCGTTCAAATTAGTAGGTTCACTAATTATTTGTTTGAGGTCAACTGAATTTAATATATTATTTAATAATTTTGTAGCAGAAGAATTGATTTCTAACACATCAATATTAAAATCACCAGCACACAATATATATTCATATTTAGGAGCAATAGAAGCAAGAACATTTTCAAATCCTGAAAGAAAATTAATAGTTGAAAAATTAGGCGGTTTGTTTACAGTACCTAGAGCAATAGATTTGTTGTTCATTTTTAAGGATACCCATATCTGCTCCGTTCCCTGAGTGTCCAAATTAGTTATTAAATTTGACTGAAAGGAATCTTTAATATAAATTGCCACACCTCCACCCCTACGCTGCAGTCTGTCCTCGCGATAAAGCTTATATCCTGCAAGCAATACACTGCTATCAACAATATTATGATTTAACCATGTTTCTGTGACAGATATTATATCGAATTTATCATATACTACTTCTTTAAAATCTGCAAAACTAGTCATTAGCGATCCCACATTGATATGACAAAACTTTACTGACATCATTAAAATATCCCATGAAAAACTAGAACTTAAACTAGTATATATAAACTAAATATAAATATAGACAGCTAAAATTTAATATAAAATTATATTATTAAACAAGAATTTGACAAGTATTATTAAATATGACAGCATACAAATACAATAACAAACAACATTGTGGAATTAACCAAACCGACAATACTCAATACACCAACTATTTAATTATGATTAATATGTGTGCACGTCAAATTAATATTTCAGTAAAAGATGTAACAAATTTGTGAGGTTAAGTAATTATTTTAGCAGGCTTATTTTAAACTGTACCAAAAGTACTTCTGGAAGCGCTTCCAGACTAATACAACTAGTAAATGAAATAATTTGAAATTGCGTTCATGTATTTATGTAAACATTGTTCAAAATCTGAGGGTTTTTCCTAAAATTTATATGCTCCAGTGACGAAGATACAGGGTATTGGTGGCATATTTTTCTAAATAAAATAGTACGCCACTGCTTTACGGCAACAATCATGATATTTTCGGATTCGTCTTTCAATTTTCTACAAATTACTACACTGTTGTTTTTCGAAAAAAGTCTGATTTTTTAAGTAAAACTTAAAAAACGAATTGAAAACACAAGTCGATATTCGAATAGAATGTGGTTTAAAATTACAAAGTAGGCTAATATAGCAACTTTGACATTCTGTTAATAATTTGATTATTAAAATATTATTTATAATTTCTGGATTGTTTGATTAATGTTTATAATGGAATATACCCACGCAGAGTACGCCGATATTTTTTTTATCCATGGATTTTGTAATGGAAACGCTTTAGCGGTTTGCTGAGAGTATCGACGTAGGTATGTTTCCCAACAGACGTCATCCCACACCAAAAGTTTCTTAGACATCTGCAATGCGAAATTGCCCAACGTCCTGGCGCTGGAGGTGATGGTGGAAGGCATTCAGCTGAAAAAGCAATAATGCAGTGCTGGATCAACCTACTATAAGTATTAGGCGGACCGCGAAACAGTTGCGGTATTCACAAAGTTTTGTTTGGAGAACTTTGCATCAGGAAGTTCTACATCCCTATCTTCTATCCCTATCATCCCTCCTATCGGCAGAATGTTCAATCTCTGTTACCCGGCGACGAGGTGCAACGGTGGATTTTTTGTTAATGGCTGTTAGAAATGAATATCCAAAATGTAGGTTTCTCCAATGTCATATTCTGGTTGAACGAATCACTTTCTACAAGGAATGGCATCGATGGAAGTGTCATTTTTAACGGCTCGCTATTTATGTAAGTATTGACACAACGTTTGAACGGGAATTCTTACCTAGCCCTACTAGGAAATCACGTCGAATATACTATTTTAGATGACATTCCCCTAGGAACGAGATAACTCATGTTACCAACACGAGGGAGCACCGCCGCATGTTAGCGGAAATGTAATTATATGGTTAAATTATCATTTCAGGCAAAGATGGATAGGCAGAAATGGACCTGTACATTGGCCTGCAAGATTACCGGATCTCAACC